ATTCCTGCTCTGTTTTGCCAAAATTGTCCTTCTTCCTTCAAACGTTCAGCTGAATCCAATACAGGCAAGCTTTTTCAGATAGCTTGGGGAACATTGCAGATTTGCAGATATCAAGTGGAGGTGAGTCCGGGGGGTGGGGTAGGGTGGGGTGGGTCTACAAGGTTGGCTCTAGCAACTCTAGGGACCTTAACTAAAGGATTGTTTTGAGCTTTTGTGAGGGAGCTAGTACATGAATTTAGGAAATGAGTAATGGTATTACACTGCTTCATATGAGAAAATGACAGCAGCATTCTGCTGATGCTGGAGTCTGGGGAGCTGGAAGTGTAGAGGTAGGAATGAAGGTCAGAGGAGCTGAGGCTAGCTGACTAGGGCACTGCAGCAGTAATGTGGGGAGAATCATAGAACAACAGTGTGACAAATAGCTCATAGCCAAAGGCGTTCCAGGGCTAGGAATAAGTGAAGCACCTGGTTTCTTGACAGACAAGCTAAGGAAAAGACAGTTTTAAAGCTGGTCCACTTGTCCAAGGGTAGGCCTTCTGTCTGAGACATACAGCAGGCTGAAGGAAAGCTGAGGTAAAACTTCAGACTGACTTGAATGAGGTAGATGGGGGTGGTAAACATGAAGATATCAAATGAGTGTTAAGCATACAGCTGAATGTAATGCAAGTGAATGGCAGTGAAGGTCAAGATGAGAACATGGCAGTGGGTAGTGGGCGAATAGAAAGATGAGTTGATTGCTGTGAGACTCTACAGCTCCAGCATTTCAAGGCTCTTGATGAATGGGGCCTGGGGAGTATTTTAGGTGAGTGCTTCCCAAACTTTTGATACCTGGGCCACACATTATTAATTTTTTCCTGGATTAAAGTTGATGGGGTTCTTCACTCTTACACCCAAAAAGGGCAGTGGGGTTGTATGGTTATGTGAAGTGAATGGAACAGTTAGAAATGGTTCTCATGCTTCTAGCATTATTGAAGGTGATGGCATCAGCAAATTTTGCTTCCATGTTAGTGAGCTCTTTAGAAAAGAGGGTGGCACCTGATGCAGCCTCATTCACAGGCTAGTTCTCTATAAGCTTTCCCCTTCTCATGGTCCTCCTCCTTTCTCTTGTAGGTTGGATCCATGCTGTGTACACTCCCACTGATACTTTGGTTTTTGGAGGCAACTTCCTGCACAGCTTCAACATCCCCATGCAGCTGCGAATCTACAGCATTGAAGATCGAACACGGGTAAGGTGTTTTAGGAGGGCTGGCAGGTGACGTGCATTAAGACTCTCCCTTGGTGCAGGGGAAAGCCATAGAAACCAACACAGTGGCTTTCAGACTGATTATTTACTGTGTCAAATAAGAACATAGGAGGAATGGCTGCCTGGTTTGGGGGTGTGTAGAAATGACAGACAAGCTGTTAACTTCAAAGCCAGGAGCTTCAATCCAGTCTTAATTTGGGGCGACCCAAGTCCCCCTGACTCACTAGCAGTGGAACTCTGTAACCCTATTATGTGCAAGGAAAGGCACATTATTTGCTAGTCAGTGGGGTCATTCAAGTGTTGTTGGTTTTGCATTTCCACATGCTTCCTGTGCTACTTTGCAGTTCTGCACTAGATTTTGACTAGTCAGAAAAGATTATTGAAGCCAAAGGCAGCTTATAAATCTGAGCTGAACTGCTTGGGTGTATAGGTGACCTTT